CACCGAGGCTCGCGCCGGGGGCGGGGCCTCGCGGAGCCTGGTGCCAACCGCCAGTGCAACGGTCCCCGCCGGGGCAGGCTAGGAACGCGCCGCCCTCCAAGAAAGGAAGGGAAGGAAGGGCAAGGTCGGGGCTAAGAGGCAGAGGGCACTGGAAATGGCCGAGGGAAGGGAGGGAAAACTTGGGGACCAAGCCCCTCGCGAAGCTCCAGTCGATCCGGAGGTAAAGGACACAGGGGCGCTGCGGCCCTCCTCCCTTTCAGCGCCTCGATCCAGGCTGGCGCTCACCGTGCGCGAGAAGCCGCTGGGTTTCCCTAGTGGGCGGCTGAGGGGGCAAGGGTAGCGGTGCGTTGTGGGCTGTGTTGTGCGCTTCGTGGGCGCAGGCCGCTTCGCCCCGTCCCCGCTGCACCGAGAGCCGCTGCTAGTGAGGCGGAGAGCCGGGAGCGGGAGGGACTTAGCCAGCCCTCTTGGGCGGAGGGGGCGGGAGACGCAGCTGGCGGGGGCCTTCCCGGCCGCTCGGGCTGCCCGGCGCGAACGCCTGTCGGGAGGTGCGCGCCCAGCCTCCTCCCCGCCCACCCTGAGTCTCGGCTCAACCTGCTGCAACTCCGAGAGGGCGGGGGCGGGCCCGAGCAGGCTGAAGGTGCGACGCCTTGATTTTTCAGCGAAATCTAAGCTGGGGTCCTTCAGGCAAATTCGTTTGACGCCCAAATAGGGACAATAGGTGTCAAGCAGCTGGATCTGGACTTGGCGGCTGCCTTATGGAGCGCCCTTATTTGGTGGGGGTTGGGGAGGAGCAAAGGTTTCTGCAAGTAAGGGTTGCGTGCAGTGGGTAGTGCAATCTCAGCCTCTAGAATTCCTTCTGTGTGCACAGCAAGCCTACTCCCACACCCCAACAGATCTTACGGACAAATTCTCTGCTTCCCAACAAAAATACCTTAACCTACAAATTCCCTGTGTAATGTTTTGGGATGAGCGTGACTGGTGACTTTTATTAAAGCCATAACACTATGAATGCATTAAAAATGTTAAGACAGTTAAATATCTATCCAATAACCAGAAAAATCCGTTGCCATACATTTAAAACTGCCCCATAGGCTTTCAGAGATTGTAAATCTTTATGGCAGTTTATTGCCACATCTTGATACTTACTTTATCCAGTAGGTCTGATTATTACCAATTACTGGGCTTTCCCCCTCTATTGTTTGGCATTTGCCTAAAACCTGTAAGAGAGATGCGTAATATGTATCAACTCTACACATATGCCCCCCCTTTTTTTTTCTCCAATAAATTATTGCAACCTTGGAATCACCCTCGGGATGGGATACAGTGAGCGAAATACAAGAAAGCAAGTTCTGGAAGAAAATGTAGCGAAAGAAATGGAAAATTCAGCAACATAATACAGTATGACAACAATAAATGACCAATCTATAATTTAGATCCCCTGAAAAAGGTTTCTAAAACAGAATTCTACCAGCACTGCTATTCCTTGGGGAGTAAAATGAATAATACTGACTGGCAACAGTACATCCGTAGGGAGCCTGAAGAAATACACACAGGCAGCCACTGGCCTCAAACTATTCCCGTTAGCTACAATATCAGTCCCTTCATTCAAATGCTTATTGAACTCTACCAAAGCTATGGATAGTGGACAAAATATCCCTGTTCTCAAGGAGTTTACATTCTAAATAGTAGATTAAACTACATCCAATGCAGTAAGATAGTGAAGTTGATAGAAGAAATAAAAAAGGATAGGAAAAACTTTGCAGGTTGACATTTAAGCCAAGTTCTGAAGGAAATGAGGGGAAAGCCAAACAGTTTTATTGGAAGAATTTTCCAGGTAGAAGGAACAGCAGGTACCAAGATCTGAGATGAAAATAAGCTTGGAGCATTCAAGGGAACATTGAGGAGGCCAGACGGATAGAGCAGAGTGTAAGAGATGAGATCACAGCCATAAATGGAGACCAGTGTCCTAGGGCCCCATAAACCACTATAAGAACTTCAGCTTTCACTGAGTTAAATGAGTCACTGCGTGCCCAAGCAGAATAGTCAATATAATTATTTTCTGTTTTAAAGAAATTGCTCTTTCTGCTGTATAAAGAATTTACAGTAAAAGTGCACTTGGAGTGGAAGAGAGGACAAGAGACAGAGGGAGTCATATATTGTCATGAAATCCATTCTAACCCATGGAGATCCAGCCCATGTCTGTGGAGTAGATCTGCTCCTGGGCTTTCTGTGATCTTTTGGAAGCTGCTTGTCAGGGCTAAACTTTTCCCACCACCCTAGGGCCAGTTGAATAAAGATGATAGAAGAAGAATCGATACCTTTGAGTTTTGGTGCTGGAGAAGAGCATTGAACTACTAAGAGAACAGCGGGTCTGTCCTAGAGAGGGTGACACTAGACAACTTGAAAGCAAGGATTTTGAAGCTTCATCTCACATATTTTGGGGATGTTGCCAGGAGAGACCAGTCCTTAGAGAAGGACATCATACTTAAGGGTGGAGGGACAGCACAAGAGAGGAAGACCCTGGATGAGATGGATTGACTCCATGACTAGGGTGATGGGGATAGGTATGTCACAGACTATGAGATTGGCTCAAGATAGAGCAGAGTTCAGAGCTGTTCTACATAGGGTTGTTACGAGTCTGAAATGACTTGATGGCACATTACAGCAACAGGGCTAGTAGAGGCACTTGGTGCAGAAGATCAAACAATAGTTCAATATGGATTGCATCATAAGGTGTCAAGAAAACAAATTCTCACCAGGGACTAATAGGTAGATGAAGAAAAGATTGAAACTGTAAATGACTTCATCTTATTTGGATCTGTAATTAGTATATTTGATACCAGCAGTCAGGAGATCAGGAGACATATAGCATTGGGAAAGTGTCCAGTCAGGGACCTCTCCAGATTATTGTGGAGTATTTATGTTATCTGGAGGGCTATGGTGTGCTTAATATAGGCCGTGGTCTTTTCAGTCACTTTTTATACTGCTGAGACAGTGGATAAGGATGATGTCTTTGAACTGTGGTGTTGGAGAAGAGTACTGAATGTCCCGAGAATTGCCAAAAGAAGACATATGTCTTGGGAAAGGTCTAGCCAGAGTGCTCCTTAGAGGCATAGATGAGAAAACTTCATCTCACAAACTAAAAGAATATTGAAAAGGGACCTCATGCTTAGAAAGGTAGAAGGACAGTGAGAAAAAGGACAGGGTTCAGATCTGTTCATAGGGTCACTATGATTTGTACTTCACTCTGGCATCTAACAGGACCAAACCAACTGCTATCAAGTCTCATAGTGAACTATCCAGTTTCCTAGGCTGTGTCTTTCTCAGCAGAGTAGCTCTTGGATTTGAATTCCTGGCCTTTTGATGTGACACTACTAGTGTGATGTGACACTACTTCAACAGAATTCCACGGGGAAGTTAAAAGATTATTAAAATAATCCAACCCAAAAGTAATGTAAACTTCTTAACCATAACCTATCACAATGACTTCCTCCTCCTACAGCCTCTCAGGGCCATATTCTCGAGGGAATTCAAGGTCAATTAGCATAACATGGTCCACCAAGACAACAGTATACATCCTAATTTAGTGAGTATAAATGAGACAGCTACGAAAGCCAATAGTCACCCTTCAAACCTGAAAGAAGACTGACTTCCCAGGGCTCAAATTTCAGCCCAGCAAACTATGTGCCTACAAGTGCCTAAAGTCTATCACTTTAGAATAGCCAATAGAATATCCTTAGAGTAGCCTACCATACAAAGTTGAAAAAGGAGCCCTTGCCCAAAGATAAGACCCTGAAGACAGGAAAAAGTAGGATAGAAGGATTAATAGACAATTATGGGAAGTGAAAAGAGATTACATTGTTGTTGTTGTGTGTCATCAAGTGGGAACTGACCCACTGGTGATCTCCAGTAGGTTGTCAGAGGCAGTAAATCATAGGGGAGATGGCTCATCCTTCTCCCACGAAACAGCTAGTGAACTTGAACTGCTTGTCTGCTTCAGCTCACTTTGGGCATGTCCTTAGGAGAGTCTATTCCTTAGAAAAGGACATCATGCTTGGAAAAGTGGAGGATCAGTAAAAGAGGAAGACCCTCAATGAAATGGATTGACACAGTGGCTGCAGGAATGGGATCAAGTGTGTCAGAGATGAGGAGGATGGCACAGGATAGGACAGGGTTCAGAGCTGTGAAGCCATCAGAGCTGCCTTCTGATTTATATAAGACTCTGTAATCTTTGGTTAGTTTCTGAAAAAACAATGAAACCTTTCACTTTTTTATTAAAATATGTTTGATAAAAGCTGTAGTTCTTCAGCCTGACGCAAACTTTTGTTCCTTGGGCCAGATTCCCAGATGGCTTTAGACTTGTAAAGTTTTATTGCAGTCAGTGTTCAGTCTTACTTTCTCAACTTAATAAAATGCCTTTTCCCCCCCAGGATTTTGGTGAGAGGTAAACTATATCAATAATTTTGCTAATCATGGCTCAGAATTTAAAAAGAACCATTTGTTTCTCTAACAAAGCTCACTGGTAGAAGATTGTATTCAGTTATTTGGTTTACGATAGCAATTATTCTTAATTAAACCAGCATTTAATGTAATCTCCAAGTTTTTTAAATTTTGTTTGAATTGGGTTACTATGAAAGTTGAAAAGATAGTGTGTTTCTTGTTCATTACAACAATAAGGAAGCACAATAAAGTGGATGCTAAATTCTCAAATGCATAAATGTCCTTGCTATATATGTAAGTAAGTATATTTTACGTATAGTTTTGTTCTAAATATAACTTAGTAGGAAAAAATTTTATAGGGATAATTTTGTATATTGCTTATTTTTAACTATCCTTTCTATGGTGGAGATGAAAAGGTAAGTAAAGATGGGGTTATTGTCATAGTTTAAGAATATCCATACGCTTACAGGGAAATCCAGTGAATACTACTATTATCCAAATATATGCAACAAAAACTAGAGCCTAAAAGGAGGAAATAGATGATTTCTATCAAATTACAAAACATTACTACAAGAAATAAAAAGAGATCTGGAGAAGTGGAAGAATATCCCTTGCTCATGAATAGGAAGACTCAATATTGTGAAAATGACAATACTACCAAAGGCAGTTTATATGTTCAATGCAATCCCAATACAAATACCAATCCCATTCTTCAAGGAGATGGAAAAGGTAATTTCCAGTTTCATTTGGAATGGAAAGGAGCCCCGAATAAGCAAAGCACTCCTTAAAAATAGAAAAAATGTAGGAGGCATCCCTCTCCCTGATTTCAAATCCTACTACACTGCCGTGGTGGTTAAGGCAGCATGGTACTGGAACAATGAGAGACAAATAGATCAATGGAATAGAATTGAGAGCCCAGAAATCAGCCCATCTACCTATGGTCAACTGATTTTTGACAAGGAGATGAAATCAGTTAAGTGGGGAAATGACAGCCTTTTTAACAAATGGTGCTGGCAAAATTGGAAAGCTGTATGCAGAAGACTCAAATAAGATCCACACCTCACTCCATATACA